TATTTATATATTATATAATATATATTATATATATTATATATTATATAATGTTATATAATATATATTGTATATTATATAATGTTATATAATATATATTATATAATGTTATATATGTATTATATATATTTTTTATTTATTGTAAAAAATAATAACGTAGTGTTGGGTCAACTGGAGATCTCTATGGAAGAACACAATCTTGACCCCCTACCTTCTAAGAGACACAGAAATCAGTTCTGGATGGATCGTAGATCTAAACGTAAAAGACAAAGCAGTGAAGTTTCTGGAAGAAAACGTGGCATATCTTCCTGATTTGAGGTAGACAAAGATTTCTCACAGGGACACAAGAAGCACTAACCATAAATGGAAGAAAGTTCTAAGTTACAGTTTAAGTTTTAAAAAGTGGCCAGACGGAGACCCGTAGTGAGAGCCAGGAGGGAGAGCCGTGTCTGGGTCGGTGTAACTCTGTGCCATGCGCCCCAGCCCGTGTTGCCTGCTTCTCTGCCCCATCTCCCTCCTGGGAGGGAGGTGTCTCCTGCCTGGTGTAGTGGCTGGGCATCTCGGGTGGGACAGCGACCTCCATGCCCCAGGTGGCCATAGCGTGACTGACGGCTGCTGTGATCCCGGCAGCCCCGAAGCTGAGCCCGGAATGCAGAATCGACGTCCTCTTCCTGCTGGCCAGCTCAGCGGGCACCACCCTGGAGGGCTTCCTGCGGGCCAAGGCCTTCGTGAAGCGGTTTGTGCAGGCCTCACTGGGCGAGGACTCCCGGGCCCGCGTGGGTGTGGCCCGCTACAGCGGGGAGCTGATGGTGGCCGTGCCCGTGGGCGAGTACCAGGACATGCCGGACCTGCTCAGGAGCCTGGATGGCATCCCCTTCGGCGGGGGCGCCACCCTAACGGGCGGCGCCTTGCGGCAGGTGGCTGAGCGTGGCTTCGGGAGCGCCGCCAGGACGGGCCAGGACCGTCCCCGCAGAGTGGTGGTCCTGCTCACCGAGTCACCCTCCCAGGATGACGTGGCCGGCCCGGCGCGTCATGCGAGGGCCCGAGAGCTGCTCCTGCTGGGAGTGGGCACCGAGGCCGTGCGGGCAGAGCTGGAGGAGATCACAGGCAGCCCAGAGCGCGTCCTGGTCTACACCGGCCCACATGACCTGTTCCGCCAAACCCGTGAGCTGCAGGGGAAGCTGTGCAGCCGGCCGCCGCCAGGTGAGGTCCCAGGACTCCACGGTGCTTCCTCTTATGAGGCGTTAAAACAGGGTGCATTTGTCATAGTTAATGAATCCACAAATATATTATTATTTACTAAGGTCTATACTTTGTTCAGATCTTAGTCTTTACCTAGTGGCCCTTTTTTTGTTCCAGGGATTCTGTCCAGGACCCTGCGTTATAGTTGGCCATCATGCCTTCCTAGGCTTCCCCGGGCCGCCAGTTTCTCAGATATTCCTTGTGCTGGCGTGGTGTTTAAAAACCCATAAATTCGATCCACTGGCTCCCCTCTGCACTTGGCAGAAAACCCAGACTCCTTCCGCTGGCTTCTGAGAGCTCCCTGTGGCTGGTTCCTGAGATCTGTCTGCAGCCCCAGCACGGTGCGGGGTGGGGGTGGGGGGGTCCAGCCACTCGGGGCCTCCCCCTGCCTCAGGACCCCACCCACCCCTCAGCTCACACTTACTCCTCACAGAGAGGCCCTGACTTCTCCCGATCTGCTTTTGTGCTCCTGCTGGTCCCTCTCACAGTAGCCTGGTTTGGGCCCCCAAGCCTGCTCACGTAATTTGTAATTCTGTGTGGGTCTCCTGTCTGTCACCCCACAGACAGCCCCTTGAGGCGGGGCGTGGGCCCATCTTGTCCACTTGGTACAGTCAGCGCCTCGAGTCCAGTTCATGGCACACAGAGGGTGCCCAGGAAGGGAATGGATGAGGGTGCGGGCGAGTTGCTGTCCCAGAGGGTCCCCGGAGCCCAGTGGCTTACAGCCGATTTAGACATTTCTTCCTCTCGCAGTTAGGAGGTGAGTGTGGCCTCAGCCAGCAGGGTGGCTTGGCTCTCTTGTGCCACCTCTGGGCCTGAGGTCCTTGTTTCTCAGCCAGCAGGAGGTGGGGAGAAGGGAAGTAGGAGGGAAGCAGCTTCCTCTCGAGGACAGGGTTTGGAGACCGCACGGTCGTTTCCGACCACATCCCATGAGACAGGTGTGGCCATCTGCCTCAGCTCTCTCTGCCGGGGAGTCTGGGAATGCGGTCTAGCCTGGCATTCGTGTGTCCTCATGTTCGAGGAGCGGGCGGAGGGTGGCGCCTGCAGCGGGCTGACTGGCTGGCCCAATCCAGGGCGGCCCCCCTTTCTGGCCTGGTGCCGAGGAGGGGGCTCCGCTGGGCAGGGCCTGGCCCGGGGCTCACTCCGCTTGTCCCCGCAGGCTGCCAGGCGCGGTCCCTGGACCTGGTCTTCGCGTTGGATGCCTCGGCCTCTGTGGGGCCCGAGAACTTCGCCCGGATGCAGAGTTTCGTGAGGAGTTGCGCGCTCCGGTTTGACGTGAACCCCGACGTGACGCAGGTCGGCCTGGTGGTTTACGGCGGCCGGGTCCGCGTGGCCTTCGGGCTGGACACCCACGCCACCCGCGCCTCGGTGCTGCGGGCCGTGAGCCAGGCCCCCTACCTGGGCGGGGTGGGCTCGGCGGGCACAGCCTTGCTGCACATCCATGACAGGGTGATGACGGTCCAGAGGGGCGCCCGGCCTGGTGTCCCCAAGGCTGTGGTGGTGCTCACAGGCGGGCTGGGGGCGGAGGACGCGGCTGTCCCCGTCCGGAAGCTGAGGAACAATGGCGTCTCTGTCCTGGTGGTGGGCGTGGGGCCCGTGCTGAGGGAGGCGCTGCGGAGGCTCGCGGGTCCCCGGGACTCCCTGCTCCACGTGGCAACCTACGCAGACCTGAGGCACCACCAGGACGCGCTCATCCAGTGGATATGTGGAGGTGAGAGGGGGGAGTCCACACCCTTCATTGTTGCTTCCGGGGTGGGGCTGGGGGCACTCAGCCTGCACCCTTGGGTGCCTCATCGCCAGGATGGCAGCGCCCCCCAGCTGCCCCCGCGCGTTCCGTGCGCTGGCTTCTCTGCTAAATCCCCGCTCCCGTGAAACCCTGCCCCAGGCGCAGCTGACCCAATCTGACATTTAAGGTGCAGAGAATTTGAGTAACAAAAAAAAATCCCTCTCTCCCGACTTGAGAGGTTTCGTACCTCGTTTGAACAGAAGACATCCCTAGGATACCCGCAGACGCCCCCAGGAATCTGAGGGCCCGGGTTGACACCGACCTAGGTAGTGAATGACAGAGCTGGGAACAAACACAGCCAGGCCAGCCTGACCCCAGGGCCTCCTTTTGCCAGTTAACTCCTTCCTGCTGTTTTAAAAGTGTGTCCGTGATAATAATGGTAAACACTGCTATGTGCACAGCATGTTTGAGAAAGAGAGAGAGAGAGTCAGTCTCCATATGCAGTAGGGAAGGAAGGCTGTGTGGACACCGGGTCTGTGACCTAGCCGAGCAGTGTGGGGCACCAACCACGTGCCAACCTCCAAGCTGCTGCTCTACTCCAGGGGCCTCACCTCTGTTCTGGGCTTCCTTGGAGTAGAGGGCCTTGGGGCTGACCTGGGCTGGGCCTGCTGGGCACGTTCTCCCTTCTAGAAGCCAAGCGGCCCGTCAACCTCTGCAAACCCAGCCCGTGCATGCACGAGGGCACCTGCATCCTGCAGAACGGGAGCTACCGCTGCGAGTGCCAGGACGGCTGGCAGGGCCCCCACTGTGGGAAACGTAAGTGGGGCTCTCGCTCTGCACGTGGGAGCTGGGGGTGGCCCTCAGACCTGCTGAGCCCCAGGGACTCCGCCGAAGGCAGGTTCTAGGGCGTTCGCTCAACAGAAGGACTCATGCAGTCGTTTGTCGTTCCCGCGCGAGACATTGAGCGGGGCCGCCTGCACCCTGGGCGCGGTTCTAGGTGCGGGGAATATGGCAGTAAACAAGCAGTCCTGTCCTGCCGGAGCTCCCATGCCAGCGGGGGAGACGGACAGGGAGCAGGTGCAACATGCAGCGTGTGGGTGCTGAGCATATCCTGGGAGGGAGGTCTCCCAGGGGGGCCTGGGCCGGGAGCGCAGTGGAGGCGGGGTGTCTGGGAGACAGAGGACGCAGGCACAGATGCGGGTTGGTGGGGACAGGGTGGGGGGTGGAGGCTGGGGGGAGTTCTTTTTTGAACGTGTCTCCCCTCTCAGCGAAATGGGAGGAACAGCCGTCAGCAGAGAGTGAGGACAGGAGGGGGCACTGGTGGTTTGAGGAGAGCTCGGTAACTGTCCAGGAGAGAAGGGGCCTCAACCAGACGGAGAGTAATGTTGGGCAGCCTTACGGGCCCACTGTGGCTCCTGCTCTTGAATATCAAGTTAGGGGAGCCAGCGACCAGAAGATGCCCCTGGAAGTCTTGGGTTTTCGGCCACTGGCCGAGCAAGGCTGTCTGAGGCTGGGGAGTGGACCTGAAGGGCACCGACAGGGCCTCTGATCTGGCACATGGGCTCGGGCTCGGGCTCGGGCTCGGGCTCTGGAGGAAGGGAGAGCCACACAGGGCCCCACAGGCTGCCATTTGGCTGAAAAGATGACTGACACTCCTCCTGTTCTCAAGGTTCATTTCTCTCCCAGGGTCCTTGAGAGGAGATGCCCCCAAGGCCCGTGGCTCCCGCCGAGACCCCTCCCAGCAACTGCCCAGGTCTGAGCACCCCGGGCGCTGAAACTGCCGTGGCATCCGTGGAGCATCCTGCCTCCGGCTCCGCGCAGAACCCTCCCGCCCTCGTGCCTCCGCCACAAAGAGCTGTCCCGGCTGCAGACTGTGCTGCTTGGGGACACAGCGACACCTGATTCCACCACTAATGCTGATGTTGAAAAGTCTTGACATGTAAGTATTTGGTTGCTGTGCCTGGCTGTGCCCCGGTGAGCTCGTGTCGTCGGCCGCCTTTCCCCTGAGGAGAAACAAAGGAGCGTGGAGACTCCTGATGGCCTGTTTGAAGTAACCTTGGCCCTCACCAGATGCTAAATAGGATGTCGTTGGGAACGGTAATAGGAGGAGGCTCGGACTAGAGTGGTGTTTGGACCACTGAAGCCACGGCATTTCGAGATGGAAAAAGTGTGGACCTTTTCACACCTCTTTTCCCAAAGATTTCCTAGTGCGTTTGCTTTCGGTTCGACAAGGGGCTTGTGTGGCATTTGTGACTTCTTCTGGTGCCTGGATCTGTGCGTGACAAAGACCTAGAAGGGCTCGGGACTGGAATGTGACCACTAACCAACTTGTTTGACTATGGGGTTGGGGCCAGGTGAAGATGTCCCAGGTCCTGGGCTACATTCCCTTTGGGGGGGCTTCCTCGAGAGATTACGTAGGGGGGCTACTTGGGGGTGTTTATTGCTTGCTTTTTTTTTCCTTAGGACAAAGAGGATTGGAATTCTTAAATACAGCATAAAGAAACCTAGAGGGTGTTGGCGTTTTTTAAGCATTGATCTTATGTTATCTAAGTGGCTTTGCTTCTCGCTAAAGGAATGTCTCAGGATATGATGTTGGTTACTTAACAGGACCCGTGTGGCAAAAAGGCTTTTTAGTTGGAGTGTTTTCTGGCAAACCAGGTACTTACCCCTGCAGTGTTTAGGAATCACTCCTTCCCCTTGGTTGTGGTCCTTTCGCTTTGGGTTTTCAGTAGAAACCTTTGTGGAGCTGTGAGCTACATCCAGATATCCAGATACTTTGTCTTTTCTTTTTAATGTAAATAATGTAAATGTTTTACATGCAAATATTCAAGGCTGCTTTGACCTAAAGTACTTGAAGAGGCCGCCTGAGGGTATCCTTAGACATTTCAAATGAAAGGTCCAGAGTACCAAGCACCTTCATGACAGTCATTTGTGTTCAAGGATATTTTCACTCCTGTTACTACTTTAGCCTGGGCAGGTGACATCAGAGCAGGGATGTCCACCTGGCAGGTGCTGATGGGTGATGTCTGAGAACTTACATGAACCCACAGTCTTTAACAGCAAGTTTAATCATTTTACAGTGTAGGCTCTTTGGGTCAGGGCTGATATTTGGACATCCCATTTGAATTGCTTTGACTTAAACAAAAAACCCACAGACTTACACATGAAAACACTGCTTCTGTTTTTAGATCCCAGACCTTGAGCCTTTTTTTTTTTTTTTTTCCTTTTCTAGGGAAGGTACCACTGAATAGTTCAACCCTCTCAGCATCCCAATAGTGGCAGAGAGAATTCCTATCTCATTGCCTAACCAGCCAAGACTTTTTCTTTCTTTTAAAAGAAACTGGCCTTTTTTAACTAACTAGATTTTAAATTTAATGTTTATTCATTTTGAGAGACACACACACACACACAGTGAGCAGGGGAGGGGCAGAGAGGGAGACACAGAATCTGAAGCAGGCTCCAGGCTCTGAGCTGTCAGCACAGAGCCTGACGTGGGGCTCGAACTCACAAGCTGTGAGATCATGATGTGAGCTGAAGTCAGACACTTAACCTCCTGAGCCACTCAGGCATCCCTAACTAACTAGAATTTAAATAAAAACTTGAAACTAGTGGCTCAGTTGGTTAAATGTCCGACTTTAGCTCAGGTCATGACCTTGCAGTTCGTGGGTTTGAACCCTGCATCGGGCTCTGTGCTGACAGCTCAGAGCCTGGCTCACTGCCTCAGATTCTGTGTCTCCCTCTCTCTCTGCCCCTCCCCATGCTCACCCTCTGTCTCTTAAAAATAGAACATTAAAAAAGAAAAATCTTCTCCTTGGAAAAATTAAAACAGTGCAAATAGGTCATAAATTTTATTTTCTGAATGATCCTGATTGCAGCTACCTTGCTAGATGCTCTACTCCTGTTGTTAATTTGCTTTTCTAGAAAGGTATTTGTAAATAATCAGTTTTATTTCTTCCTTTTGATATTTGTGCTAGTACTTTCTCATGTCATTTTGCATTGTCTAGGGACTTCCAGAATAATGTGGTATCTGTTTCTGGACCCGAAGCGATCTCCCATCATGATATTTTTGTGGATTACTTTATCAGGTTAGGAATACTTCTTTCTATTCCTGGATTACAAAGAGTGTTTATGAGGAGTATTGAGATTTGTGGTATGCTCTTCTGTTTCCTTTGAGATGATGTTCTTTTTCACATTTAATCTGTTCATATCATAAATGGCCCATGAGTATAGTTTTAATCGTTGAACCACCGTTGCTTCCGTGGATAAACATGACCAGTCATGCTGCATGATTCTTTAAACACTGTTGAATTTCACTTGCCAATATTCGGGTTTTTTTTTTCATTTTTGTCCCCAAAAGTGAGATTTGGTTTTTCTTTGGTGATTTGTGTTGGATTTTTGGCATCAGAACTACGCTAAAACTTTATAAAACGGAAAAGACATACTCCTCAAACTTAAGGGCCTTTTATGTTGTCTTTTTATTAGCGATTTCAACGAGCCAGATTTTGTCCTTTTTGAAATCAGTGCATTCACGCATGGAACTTTTTGCTCCTTAGGCAACCTTCCAAGTATCGGTCCGTTTCTTTGCCCCAAGAATGATTTAGGAGTGTGTTTAACTTCCGGGCGTATTGATTTTCAGTCATGTATCTGCAGAAACCAATCACACAGGTTTCCTTTGCGTTCTGTACAGTTACACTGTGAAAATCCTTTTCAGCCTTACTGACACTGGGATCACCCTGCCACCAGTTTTTAATGGACGTATTTTCAAGTCTAGTAGGTAAATAACCAAGACGTTGCCCCCTTGAGGCAGAAGTCACCAGGCACTGCCCCAAATAATTCCGTGAAATAACAAGGAAAACCCCAAAATACAGTTAACATTTTATTAAAAAAAAAAAAATCGAACTCATCACTTGGTAAAGGGCACCAAGCATATATAGCACAAAGAAAATAAATGCCCTGGGATTAGAAAGACCGTAGAAATCAGAAGAATTTTAGTTCTCAGGAACCAGTGTTAGAGAACTCTGATTGATAACCGCCCCCCACCCCGCCCCCGAAACGAGGCAGAAATGACAGATGAAATGTTTCAATCGGTGTTAACAACAGACACATCAGAAGAGAAGACACAGAAGAACAGCATTGCCAATTTTAAGAGGAGAGAGAGTCACCCCGAAACAAAATTCGCCACCTTCTTCACGGAAGGGGCCTGGACATTACGCAGAACTTAAATAACTTTTCCCTTAAAAATGGCCTGGCCACAGGACGGAATCTGTAAACGCTGGGTCATCTTTTCTCCTATGGTAACGTAAAAAGTCCGATCTCAAAAAGATACTTTCAAATCTCAAAAAGACACTTTGCGCTGTTCTAAATTACAGGATTTTAAACATTTCTTTCCCCCTATATAATACAGCATCACTTAAAATTTTATTTAAAAGCAATTGATTCAGGCCTGCTTGAGGCTGGAAAAAAAAAAGTCCTGAACTTAGTGGGGACCTCACCTCAGCTTGGTCCCAAATATTATCCCCTGTTCCTGTTTTTTCAAAAAGCATGTCATGGATGGCTTTACACAGGTGATGATATCGAGGCTGTTTTAAAACCACGGAAGACTGAGTAGGACTTGCTAATGTTGGAGAGAAGACCCTTGGATGAGAGGTGACAGTCCAGAGTGCAGGTCTTCTCGGTCACCAAAGCCACACGACCAGTGGGTCAGGGTCCTGCTACCTTGATTTCTTTCCCACCAAAGTCTCACCATCAGAAGCTTTTCGCTACTTACAAAGCTTGATACAGCAGTTGATGAAAACTTCAAAGAAGAAACACAGAATACACCTGAATACAACAATGGATTGTTTCCACTCAGTAGACTTAGGTCTCCAGAGAAGCTCTCTTTTTGTTGTTATATATTATTTCCTTTGGCTCTGAAGACGGACAGAGCCTCCTCTTAGTCAGTGCTCTCCACCTGTAGTACCATAGTCCTTTTTTCTTCTGAACAAAGACTTTAATGAAGCAGGATTGTCACCAAGGTCCACGATGGCAGGAAAAGTCTTTAGATGAAACTCGTTTCCTAACTTGTTCCTTTCTTCTCCCATTCCTAGGGTGGCAAATACCAGCACCACCACCCGCCCCCCCACCAAAGAAGAGAGTTAGTTAACATTGTTCTGTGTATATGGAGGTTGCTACGGAGGGTAAGAAGTATTTTTTTTGAAGCTTAGAGGCATTGGAGACGGTAATTGTTGTCTGTTCACAGTTTGGGGCACACGTTAAGAGATTCGGAGACTGTGGCACAGCGGAGCATGCTGGGAGTGAGGGAGCAGAGCCTCACATGCTCACGTGGATTTAGGAGTTAGTCATCGGTGCATGTGCCCCCGAATCTCTCTGGCAGGCAATCAGGACAGAAATAAGGAACTGAGTTTGCCACCAACAAAGGCAGCTCGGGGCATGTTCTTTCGTAGGCGGAAGAGGCTGCTAACACTTTAGCCCTCAGGGAGAAACCCAGCAAGGGCACTCTGTCCTTGCTTACACCTTACCAAGCCCTTGGCCACCAGCTGGCTGGGGGGCTTTAGGCAAATCCTATCACCTGTCCCTTCAGTTTTAGTGGCAGAAGGCCTTTAAGAATCACTGACTTTCTGACTTGGAAACTCGCCTGTCACAGCTTGTCTCTGAACTCAGGCTATCACCCTGGAATCTACTGGGTAACCAACGGGTGGACAGTTGCAGGATCAAGGGTCCTCAGGCTGTGACCGGTAAGAACGTTTCGACCAAGTGCCCGCGCCTTTCTGGTTGCTCAGGGCCGAAGACGGAGCCAAAGGCACAAGGAAGCCTCAGCCCCTGCGTGAGAGCCGAGCGCTCAGAGCTGGCGCCCAAAGCGGGGACGTGCTACCCTAGGCAGACGAGGGACCCCGCCTTAGTGACAGTTCTGCCGTCCACGGTGGCCCCGCAGGAGGCTGGGTGTGACTGCCGCTTACCTTCGCTTTCTGGAGGACGGTGCCTTTGCCCGTGACCATGACCGAAAGAGGCCTGTTCTTGAGTGCGGTGGCAGAGTTGACCGGGGTGCAGTCTGGGGCAGGGGTGGGGGTGGCAGCCTTGGGCTGTGGTGGCAAGAGGAGAGCGAGGCCTGAGCCAAGGGCGGGGCACGTGACCCGCCTCCCCCAGCCCCGGCCCCGGAGGTCGTGCAGGCGGCCAAGAGGAACCCTGCCGCTCACCCGGGGGCTCACGTTCTCCAGGTGGGTGGTGTCCACAGTGGTGCCCAGCGTCACGGGCCCGGCCTCTGCCTTCTTCAGGTTGTCCTTCACCTCCACGATGTTGAGCTCGAGGTCCACACGCCTGCTCTCCTCGACCCTGCACTCCTCGTCGATTTCCTTCAGCTTCTGCTCCAGGCTGGCCAGGACTCCCTTGTCTGCAGAGAATTTATCGGCTTCAGGGGACAGAACCCCGGTGGAGACAGAACCCCGGTGGATGTGGCCTACAGTTCTGGCTCCACCGCTCAGGGTCGGGGCCTGCGTGAGCATTCCGCAGAGGCTGGGGAAAGCTCTGGGGGGCAGAGAGCTCTGCCTTCATAACAGGGCATAAGTCAGAGGCCAAGGTCCCTTCTGGTAGGTTCTTAGCAGGTATCAAAACTGAGGGCCCCTATTGTTATAGCAACTACCCAGGGAGGGAGAGAGCAGCTTTATTACTGACTCTTGGAGGATGTCTGTGCTGTTCCCACCTGCCCCACACAGTCCCCTCAATCCTGCTGGCACTCAGGGCTTCTCTAAGCCTAACGGAGCGGTGGTCCTCAGCCCTGCTACTTTCTCAATCCTGTTTTATTTTTTTTTTTTTTAATTTTTTTTTCAACGTTTATTTATTTTTGGGACAGAGAGAGACAGAGCATGAACGGGGGAGAGGCAGAGAGAGAGGCAGACACAGAATCGGAAACAGGCTCCAGGCTCTGAGCCATCAGCCCAGAGCCTGACGTGGGGCTCGAACTCACGGACCGCGAGATCATGACCTGGCTGAAGTCGGACGCTTAACCGACTGCGCCACCCAGGCGCCCCTCAATCCTGTTTTATCGTCACTCTAGAGTTCTCAGATTGGTGCGGTAGCACCAAGAAATGCTGGCCTAGGAGCTCACCGCCAGGGGGAACAACGGTGCCATGTGTGTTCAATAGAGAGTCCTGAGCCAGCAGCCACTGGAATAACTTGGCCCTGTTTCCAAGTCTAGGGTAAGTGGCCACCTGTCAGCCCTTGTCAGAGGACAAGCAGTCACAGGGCCCACTGTTTAAGGAAAAATTCACAGGGAAAAAGCTGACGAAATGTTAAAGATGTTTTTGGAACCGGAGTCCTTGTTAGCAGTCAGTATCCCTACTTTGAGAATTACTTTCTTCAGGTCTGTGACTTACTGGCCTAAGATCTTCAGGGCTTACTTGCCAGAAGAATACAGTAAAAGTTTTCTCCTACCCAGAAAATCCCCCTAGAAGAGAAAGGGCGGGGGATCCCCGGTTCTGCACCCCCAGCCCGGCTTGCTCTCTAGGTTTACAAGGACTGTGGCCAGTGCGCCTCTGGTCACGCTTGTTAGCGCACGTCCCAGCTCCGTAGGAAAGCCAGCTACTGTCTCCTTACCCCTGTGCGCTGGCAGCCAAGACCACTGGACCTTTGAAACCAGTAGTGCAAGGGGCTGCCTAGGGATGGGAGGGTTGGGGGGAGATAGGGAGTGACTGCTAATGAGTGTGGGTGGTAAACATGTACAGATCTGTACAGATACTAAAAATCACTGACTTGTACACTGTAAATGGGTCCATTGTATGATCTGCGAATTGTAGCTCAGTAACGCTATTCTAGAACAAAGACAGTGGATGACTTTGGTGGAGGAGGGTCATGGGGACACAATCACATGCTAAGCTTCCCAGGAGTCTCTGGGTTTGTCCCCAGACCTGCTCAGGCCAGTTGTGTTGGTTGGTGCAAGTCTGCAATTTAAATAGCAGATAAGCACAAAGATAGACTCTATGAAAATGACGTAAGTGCTTCGGAAAGGTCCTATAAAAAGCAAGTTTCTAGGAAATGACTGCTGACTGGTGGGAGGAGGATCTAGAAAATCATCTACAAGGAGATTTCCTTGCAAGTGTCTTAAGTGTGTGTTCACTGTAAGGAAACGAAGTCTGGGGCGCCTGGGTGGCTAAGCGTCTGACTCCGGCTCAGGTAACGATCTCACGGTTTCTGAGTTCACGCCCCACGTCGGGTTCCGCCCGCTCAGCCCAGCGCCTGCTTCCCAATCCTCTGTCTCCCTCCCCTGCTCGCCGGCTCTTTCTCTCAAAAAATGGAATAAAGAACTAAAGAGATCAAGCCTGGACATGATGGATGCCGCGGTGCAGGTGTGGTTAACACAGGAAAGGTGACCCGGGACTCCCGTTGGCTGGCCTACACCTCGGCCAGAGGCTTTGGCACTCCATTACAAGAGGGAACTTTTTTTAATGGCTATTTCTGAGAGCGAGACAGAGCACAAGCGGGGAGGGGCAGAGAGAGAGGGAGACACAGAATCCGAAGCAGACTCCAGGCTCTGAGCTGTCAGCACAGAGTCTGACACGGGGCTCGAACTCAAAAATTGTGAGATCATGACACAGAGCCGGTCACTTAACTGACTGATCCACCTGGGCACCCCAAGACAGAATGTGCTTTCAGTGAAAATAAAACATGGCGGCCTAAGTATGTAGTTTTTAGAGATTTCCTCCTCCCACCGGTTTTTTTCCACTACCTCCTGGTCCTGTTGACGGCAGATCAGAGGGTCTCTGTACAGCATAGCAACATTTCAGACAGGATGGGGGAAGGACCTGGCAGGGGAGCACCCACCTGCACCAAACACCGATGCGGCGAAGGCTCACGGGCCCGCAGGCCCGGTGCACAGATCCAGATTCTTCCCCCGGGAAGCCCACACCCCTCCACCTGGGAGGCCCCTTACCTGTGCATTTTAACAGGGTCTCTCTCAACTCCCGTTTCTCTTTCCGGAGCTGAGCCAGGTGCCCCCGGATTTCTTCCTTCTTCTTCTCGAGCCTCTCCTTCTCCTCTGTGTACCGCTTCACCTCGGCTTCTGTCCTATTCTTGCCCAGTTTGATCTCTACAGACCCACAGAGGAGAACCCCCAGGTCAGCCAGGCTGGGACACAAGGGCCAGCCCAACCCACTGTGCAGGCTCAGACACAACCCGGCCTGGCAGGGACAGACAAGAAAATTGGGCCCATGCTTCCTTTGCTGTGTGACTTTGGGCAAGTCCCTTCACCTCTCTGAACCTCTGCTTCCTCGTCTGAAAGGGAAGGAACTGGACTAACTTCTGCAAGCCACTTCCAGAACATTCCACGCTAATCTAGCACAGGCACCTGCAGTGGTCACCCTCAGCTTGTCCTTCACAGGCGGGCTGGCCCCCGCTGGGGGGACGGCCGTAGTGTCGGGGCAGCTCGATGGGAAGGAGATCTTCTGTTCGGTCTGGATTTTGACTGTCGCGAGTCTCCCGGAAGGCTCTTCAGACTCCGGACTCTCCTGCCGCGTCTGCTTTGGGAGAAGGCGAACACGGCTCAGCCGGCCCAGGGGCCGCGAAGGCGAGGCCGGCCCACCTGCTAGAGGACAGCCTTACCTGCAGCTTGGGGTTCTCTGGGGGCTCTCCGAGGGGCTCATCTGGGGCAGGGCCCGGGTCTGCAGGGAGAGCCTCGGCTGGGGGGTCTAGGTGGGATGGCAGTGGGGAGTGGGCCCGGGTCTGTGCACTGCTGGGGCTGTGCAGAAAGGACTTGACAGGCGTGAGGTCCAGGTATACTCGGTCCGGCGGGGGCTCGCTCAGAGCGTCTGTCACAGGGGCGGCTTCGAGCGTTTCCACCTGCAGAGGAGAGACAGGTGGCTTTCACCACGGCCTCTGCTCCCCGGGCTGTGGAGGGGGCACCGGACCCGCCTCCTGTCCCTGCCCCGCGCTGAGTTCACAGAGACCAGCCTCCTGGGGAAGTTTCCACTGAGCTGGACTTACAAGGCCAGGGTTTGAGCCCTGGATTTGCTGTTCAGGAGGTGGGAGACCTAGGACATAGTACTTACTACTCCTGAATCTCCTTTCTGTAGAGAAAGGGACTAGCGGTGCCTCTGACCAGGCGGTTAGGATTCAGTGAGAGAATCCGCAGAAGCCCTTAGCACAGCACAGAGTTCAATGCCCAGGAACTGGAACCTGCTGTCACTATGACTATTCACCATCAGTGTGGGCCTCGGTGGTTAATGGTGTCGCTGCTCCTGATCCCGACGCCACACATCCCACCCCTCATACTGACCGGCGTGGTTGACCAGCTATGTTCGCTGGACCAGTCCCCAAGCCAGGTACGCTGCACAAAAGATGGCCTTATTGCACTAGGTTCCTGCACACTGCAGGTGACTGGGAACCTGCCAGTCTTAGGGACAACCTGCCGATCTCTGGCACTGAGGTTTGGTGGGAGGAGGAGGGGAGAGCCCAGCCTGTGTCCTTACCATGGCCGTCAGCTCCGACACTTCCACGTCGTCATACAGCATCTCCTGGCGGTCCTGGCTGGGCAGGCCATCGATGTAAGTGTTTGGCTCTGAGAACTTCCTCTGCATCAGTCTGGAAGAGCCGGCAAGATACAGCAAGGGGAAGATCAGGGCAGGGTGGCCCAAAGCCACCCATCTCAAAGGACCTACGACAGCAGCCCAGGCCAGCTACGTCCCCCTCTCGGTACCCAGGAAAACGGATCCCGCTGCAGCGGCTGGGCCGGCTCCCGCCAGAGCCACCTCGGCATCCTGACCCGGGACCGCTTCTCCCTGAGCCCAGTCTGCTTGTCTGGAAAGCAGAAGAACGAACCCTGCTTATTGCGGAGCGAGCCTATCCCAGCAGGGGAGCCAGGACGAAGTGCTGAATCCACAACAAGGAAAGGGGACGGTCAGGAGAGGCTCCGACTCTGCCCCGAGGAGCTGGAGAGCGTCCATCCAGGCCAAGGGCACGTGGCTGCCCCCGGCCCAAGGCCTGGCTCAGCTCCTAGCTCTCAGCTGCTCCCGGGGCCCGGGGCTTCCTGCTGCTGGACAGAACGGGGCTGACCCTGAGTCCTCAGCTGCCGCCCTGCGTGGCGGAACGGGCCACCGGAGGCCAGTCTGGGCCCCAGTCTTGAAGCGTGGCCGGGAGTGGGAGAGCGTGAAGCAGAAGGCCCCTTAATACTCACAGCAGAGAGGTTTTGGCCGCACTCACGATACAGGACACCCTGTCGGCATCCACGTAGTCGTAGGTGAATTCCTCCGGGTCTGTCTTGGAGCCTGACTCAGAGAGCAGGAGGCCTAGCCAGTGGCCCATTTCCTCGGACGACTTGGCCTGGGGGGAGGCCGAGAGGCACGTGAGCAGCGCTGGAGTGTGTCGTCCGGTGCCCAGCCCTCCCGGCCCCGAGGCCCGGCCGGGCAGGGCCCCGGAGAGAGCCTGGGGCCATGCTCCCTCACTGCCACTAGCTTCTCTCATCCCGGTGAGTCCAAATAACATTTCCTGCCACTGGGGATAATGCCACCTCAGTGACGCCGTGGACATTTGTCCTGAGTGTCAGATGTGATTCACACACGTGTATTTCTAGAAGGCCAAGGAGCCCAGAGAGGACGATTAACACCATATGCATTTAAGGTCGACACCTCTATTTTATCAACAATCACAGGGCAGTTTGTCAACCTAATCCACACATACAAGACTGAATCCCTAAGACATAACAAAATTCGAATTTCATTTCCAGTTTTACTACAGTCTTCCAAGAAAGGTTCTCTTAAATACATTTCTTTATACCAGGTCAGCTGGCTCTAATAAATAACTAAATAAATCCCGGTGAAGTTGGAGCCTGTTTTTTTTTTTTTTTTTTTCCCCCAGGGGACAATGCATTCTAATCAAATATGTACACTGGGTATCTTTTAAAATGCCAACATTGCTTCTTGCCTTCCCCTTCCGTCCTTCCCCGACCCAGCAGCTGGAGGGGGCATCTCGAAATCCAAATCTGAGCCCGCCACCCTCCCCTGAACCCTTTTGTTCAGGGCCTCCCTTTGTATGCCAGTGGTTGTACCTCTGAGGGTCAACCCTCCGCCCCTCCCAGCCTCCCAACCCCGGCCTCCCCGCCACATGCAGGCTTCTGCACACATCACAGCACCCCCCACCGCGGCTTTCCAGCAACTGTAAGTAATCCACTGGGTAATTCGATGAATAGCACCCCAGTCTCACGCTAGAATCCAAGCTCTGTGACAGCCTGTCTTGTTCACGATATAACTGTACTGAGTAGATACCCGTCAACAGGACAGACGGGTGGATACAGACACGCTTGTCCCTGGGAAACAACCTGCGGAGCTTTTAGCCACCAGAGGGCAGTATTGGAGCACAATCTGGATGAAGACCCCGGCGTAAAGGACTAGGTGACCAGGGGTGAACCACGGGATGTTTCTTTGCGTGTTAAGTCTGGCTCGGACCTGCATGAGGTCACCTCTTATTTTTGTAAATGTAACAGCACATCACACAGAGGGTGGGGAGTGGGAGAAAAGGTATCACAAACCTCGTTCTTGCCCCAGATAAGGCCTAACAATCATCCCCTCTATGCACGGGGCCCCATCTGGTGATCCACAAACCAAACCCACTGTGAATCCCCAGAAGGTTTTTCAAGCAGCTCAGGGAGTTATAAATACTCCTCCTGCCCTCAGGGCAGGAAGTAACTCATTGTCCCTTTCCTATAACACAACCACTCTGAGGTCAGAAAGGGAGTAGACAATTCTTTTTTTTTTTTTTTTTTTAAAGCGCAAAGAAGTAAAATGCAAGGGAGTAAAAATAACGCAGGGCTAGGCTGCATCTCCGAACAGGGTGACGGTCCGCAGAGCGCAGCAAACAGCCCGGAGCCCCGCGCCCCGTCGCCCGCCCCTGCGGGCCAGTGGTACCTCGAGCTTGGCCAGCTCCTCGCCGTGGTGCAGGATGCGGAAGGAGTAGAGGTGGTCGGGGCTCGGGTCTGGGACCACCTCACAGCCCAGCAGGCTGACGGGCTGCTGGGCCACCTTGCTCCGGTTCCGGTCCAGGTAGAAGTGCAGGTGACTGTCCCTGACGGAGCACCAGCGGGACTTCCACTGGCTGTTGACCAGCACGTTCAGGTAGCCTGCCGGAGGGGACAAGGGTGTCCGTAGCTGCCACCACCTCTGGGCCTCCTAGAAGCTCCCCCAGAATCTCAGTTGCAAGACCTGTCGCGCTTCGCAATAGGTCTGTCCCGAGGGCAGCGAGCCGTGTCGTTGACTAGAGCAGGCGGGTGGTGCGTGTGTACAGGACAAGGCCCCCTCACCCTCCTACCCCCACTGGCAGCCACCCTCCTCACCGCCTCTGGTCACTTAGGCCACGTGCAGGAAGGTCCCCGGCCAGGGCCGCCTCGCTGCAGGTGCCGTCACGCGCTGACGTCCACAGCCCTAGTTCCGTCACCATCCCCGACGGACCTTTCCATCACTGGGCCTCGGCTGCCAAGTCCTCCTCCCTTCTGCCGGCGCCCTCTCATCCTCCCCAGTGCGGCTGGCCTTGCTGGGCCCTGCCCCGGTCCTGCACTCCCTGCGAGGCCTTCCTTCAGAACCCCTGGATCCCAGAGCAGTGAAACCTGTTTCCGCGTCAGCCTCCCCAAGCGGACCCTGGGCTTCTCAAGGGCACGGGCTCTGCCACCTTCACCTCCAGCGCCCCGGGCGCGTGCCCTGTGGCCTCCCCACCAGGGAGCCCCTCTCTCCGTGGGCCAGCAGAGGCGGCCAGCACTGGGGTGCATCGGTCATGCAATCCTTTATCGTTCTCAAATGGTTGCAAGTATTGGGTTCCGCTTCCCGAGGACACGCCTTCCCCCTGCCTTCCACTTGGACATATACGGAGCTGACACCATGGGCCAAGCACGGCCTTGTCCCCGGGGCTACAGAGATGAGTAAAATCCAGTCCTCAGGACCCCCGGCACAGCCCGTGGACCTCTCTCTGGGCTGCTCACCTTCCCAGAGGGACCGGCTTACAAAGCGGATACCTCCTCCATTCTAGAGGATTGAAAGCTGTTCTGAGCCCTAACTGGGCTGAACTAAGCCACGCAGCAGGTCACGGAGCCTGGCCACCTTCCGGCCCACCCAGTGCGGGGCATACAGTGGGGATCATGAGTCCCTCAAGGCCACGCGGACATAGCCACAAGGACACCTGCAAAGTAGAGGAATCCTAGGCCAAGCCCTAGGAATTCTGGCTCGTCCAGGCAGTGCCCCCACTTGTCTATCACAGTTCTCTGGACCACAGAGAACTCTGGGTCAAGAGAGCAGGGAGCCCAGATGCCACATCTTGACGAAGAGAACAGCTATGTGCTCTGGCCCCCTTCCCTAGCCACAGGGGACAGGGGCATGCTTCCCTGCTGAAGGGATTTCCAGCAATAATCCAGTCACATCTCCCAGTGGCTCAGTGACACCAGGCTTTTGTGCCAAACACTGCGCCCCCTGACGCTGCAGGGGCTGGCAGAGCTGGGCCACTACCCGGTGCCCTGGCCAGAGAAACAAGAGGCTCCAAAGGTGAGGGCCCCTCTGCTGATTTCCTGCCCCACCCGTCTACTCCGCCAGCCTCAAAAACCACAACTCAACTGGGACTCAGGAAAGGAGCCCAGGGCTGGGACATGGGTTCCAGGAGGAAGAAGAAAAGGCCTAAAGGTGGACCATAATGGCCTTCGGCCTCCGGAGTGATCGCAAGGAGTCCCAGGTTGGGAGCCAGGACAGAGGCTCACCCAGGATGTTTTCTGGGAAAGGCCTCAGTTTCCTCAAGGCTGAGAGGGGAGGAGAGATGATGTCTATGAGCCCTAGCAGCACCCATAACATCCTCTGTACCCTTCTGTCTCTCCCTTAATGGGTCTCACTGTCCCCAGCTCAGAATCCTTGCTCGTGCCCAAGGATGCCACCTCACCCTGTTTAGCTCCTGCCCGACCTTCAGGGCTCGGGCCTGATCTTGGAGTGGGAAAGGTTCTTTCCCTGAGTCCTTACAGCTATGACAAGGACACAGCGTGTGGTTTAGGGGTACGAAGCCACCATCACTCCTGCGCCGTGAGTCGTCAGGGCTGTGTCCTCCCCCTGCCCGGTCCCCTTCCCCTAGCCCTGCTTGCCACGCTCCTTCAATACTGATCAAATAAAAAGAGCACTGGGGAGACACAGCAATCAATTACCAGCACTTCTGCAAAGGACCCAGCACTGCAGCAAAGACAGAGTCTGGTCAGGCATAAGGAACGGCCTGCAGCAAAGGTAAACAGAAGCCAGGAGCGACAGGTTCGCCATCGCCCAGAAACGTTTAAAGCAAGACCGAAAATCTCTGCCTGTGCCGTGACAGCGGCCTTCGGCTACGGTTCTTACTGGATGTCTCGAGGGACCTGTCCGGAGGCTCCAGCGAGGTAGACTTCTTCCGGCCCAGATTCATTAGGTTGCTCAGTTTGAGGCCAGTAGAACATTTCTTCTTGACTGTCAAGATGAGAGAGAAACCCATCAGCACGGCACACAGCCCACCGAGGTGTCCCGATGAAAGACAGAAAGAAGACCAGACCCGTTCCCACTCCCCCTGCCCCTCCCTGCGCTCGGGCACACACGCGTTTGCACGCACACGCGCGCCTGCCCCCCAAACCAGGACGCACGGCCCAAAGTCAGGTGCCCCTAGAATCGCACATTCACGAGGGGCCCCCCGCCCAGCTCCTCTCACAGAACATGTCAGCCCTCGAGAATCTCCGCGGACTCTTGGCTCAGAGAGATTGGGTCCGGGGTTAGCAAACGAGAAGAGATACAAGAATATTCTAACCCCAGCAAATTCATAAAACGTGACCTCAACGAGGTCACCTCTCTCTTTTTCCCGGATTTGTCAGCTGTGTTATTTCCAGGCAGTGTATAAGTTGGAGGCACGTTGGCAGCAGCTGTCCAAACCCGTTAGGGTTGAGCCACACAGCCACGTCTCACGGCGTGGGGTCCCATCCCCCCTCCCAGGCCTCGGCTGAGGGCCACAAGCATTGGTACCGTCTTTGGCCTCTGGGACCTCGGGGTGGCCATCTACGGAGCTCCCATATTCCGGGGCCGACCCGTATTTCTCCGTTACATCTGGCTGTGGAAAAGAGGGAGACAGGTGAGCCATCTTGTCTGGGAACGGTTACCTCAGGGATCACGGTTTAAGGGAAACTAATAGATAGCTTTTGGGTGTCGCCTAGAGGTTCCTGTGGAGTCTGGGTCACCGATGGGACACTGGCCACACTTCCCTTGGGCCTTCTGGGGGACGTGCCTTCACCTTCCCTTTCGCTGCCCCATCCCAGAGACCGTCCTCTACTTCAAGGCCACCACACATTCAAGTTTACAAGTTCTCAAAATGCTATTCGACCTGATGCAACAGCGGCCCCGTAGCAAGGCTTTTAAGAACTGACTGTGCGGGGGCGCCCGGGTGCCTCAGTCTGTTGAGCGTCCGACTTCGGCTCAGGTCATGATCTCGTGGTTCGTGAGTTCAAGCCCCACATCGGGCCCCGT